TCGGTTTATAAAACAGTAAAAAAGACAAAAGTTTAGCAATAGTGTTTCATATTAAATTTAATGAGATGGGTGTCTGTATTTCCAGTAGCTAATAGGCTTTCCTACTATAAATAGAGAAGCTAATAGGTTTTCCAAACCCCTTCACACTAGAGTGGGGAAAAAGTGGAGGGAAAGTGAGGAGAAGAGGCCAAAACATTTAAGTCAACAGACATTAACAATTATTTGATCTGGAGAGAAATATTAACCATCAGGATTAGCTTAAGGACAACCATAATACTCTAGCAAACCTGTATCAGTAAACTACTGTAACAGAAATCAGAAGCCTTAGGAACTGCAAGATGTGTATGAAAAAGCCACTTGCAATCTGAAAGCACCTAAGTATAATTACGTAAGTCATCATTTTATTTTTAAGTTGTGCTCCTAAACCACAAGCAACAACAATCTTTCAGAGATTCACATCTTTCAGTTATGACTGTATGGGAGGGGTGGCAGGTGGGCTTGTCAAAAGATGGACTCTAAAAGACGACTGACCCGGCACATTGTCTCACTCCTATAATCCCAGCACTTTTGGGAGGCCGAGGTGAGCAGATTGCTTGACTAGCTCAAGACTAGCCTGGGCAACATGGCAAAATTCCACCTCTACAAAAACTACAAAAACTTACCCGGGTATGGTGGTACTCGCCTGTAGTCCCAGCTACTTGGGAAGCTGAGGTGGGAGGACCACCTGAGCCCAGAAGGTGGAGGCTGCAGTAAGCTGTGATCACACCATTGCACTGCAGCCTGAACAACCGCAGTGAGACTGTCTCAAAAAAAATTCTCCTTATTTTTATATATCAAAAAAACAGTTTTTTTAATTAAAAAAAAAGATACTAAAAGAGGGAACAGTGAATGCTGGAACACAAAATAAGTACCTGGCTGGTTTCCCTTCAACTGACATGGAGGTTACCACAATTTTATCCTACATCCTTAAGGATATTACTTATCTTCTTAACGAAACCGTATAGAAAAAAGAAAAACAGAACAATAAAATCATTAATGTCACTCCACTGCAACCAATACTCTGTGTTTACACCCATTTTAACTTACTTTCTTCTTGTCAAAGGAAAAGCCCCTTCCAGCAGGGCACAGTGGCTCACGCCAGTAGCTTCAACACTTTGGGAGGCAGAGGCAGGTGGATCACGAGGTCAGGAGTTCAAGACCAGCCTGGCCAAGATGGTCAAACCCCATCTGTACTAAAAATACAAAAGCTAGCTGGGCGTGGTGGTGGGTGCCTGTAATCCCAGCTACTCAGGAGGCTAAGGCAGAGAACTGCTTGAACCCGAGAGGTGGAGGTTGCAGTGAGCCAAGATTGCACCGCTGCACTCCAGCCTGGACAGAGTGAGACTCTGTCGAGGAGAGGGGAGGGGAGGGCAGGGGAGGGGAGAGGAGGGGAGAGGAGAGGAGGAGAGGAGGAGAGGAGGAGAGGAGGAGAGGAGGAAACAAGGAAAGAAAGCGGGAGAGGGAGAGGGAGAGACAAGAAAGAAAAGAAAGACAGAAGGGAAGAAAGGGGAAGGAAGGAGGGAAGGAAGGAAGGAAGGAAGGGAGGCAGGGAGTGAGGGAGGGAGGGAGGGAGGGAAGAAGGGCCACTTTCACTAAAAGCTAAAAGCTAGTCCAGTCACCTATGCTGTCTACATCATCCCCTCAATAATTTTATTCTATAAAATATCTCCTCTTTTTCCTGTATTTCCTACCCTTCCTTCTCCATTGATTTCTTCCTTCAATATGAGAATGTTCTAGGTTATTCCCTGGGAGGAAGGTTAAAAAACAACCCTTGAATTCATATATCTTCACTCTCTAGGTATTTTAAACCACTGCTTCTAGGAAGTTTGTTAAAAATAGATTTTTTTTCTTCTGAGACAGGGTCTCTTGCTCTGTTGTCCATCCTAGAGTGCTACAGTGGCAAAATCATAGCTCACTGTACCCGCCAACTCCTGGGCTCCAGTGATCCTCCCACCTCAGCTTTCTGAGCAGCCAGGACTACAGGTGCATGCCACCACATCTCGCTAATTCTTTTTTAATTTTTTATTTTTTTTGTCTTCAGAAGGAGTTTCACTCTGTTGCCTATGCTGGAGCCCAGTGGCGTGATCTTGGCTCACTGCAACCTCCACCTCCTGGGTTCAAGTGATTCTCCTGCCTCAGCCTCCCGAGTAGCAGAGACTACAGGCGCTCGCCACCATGCCCAACTAATTTTTGTATTTTTTTAGTAGAGAGGGGGTTTCACCATGTTGGCCAGGCTGGTCTTGAACTCCTGACCATGAGTGATCAGTTTGCCTCCGCCTCCCAAAGTGCTGGGATTACAGGAGTGAACCACCACACCTGGCCCTTGCTCATTTTTATTTTTATTTTTATTTTTTGTGAACTCCTGGCCTCAAGCAATCCTCCTCCCACCTCAGCCTCCCAAAGCATTGGGATTACAGGTGTAAGCCACCACACTGGACCAACATACAGATTCTGATTCAGTAGGTCTGGAATAGTGCCTAAGTTTCTGAGTTTCTAACAAGCTTCCAGGTCTTTTGGATAATACTGGTCCATGTGCTACAATTTGAATAGTTAGGGCCTTAACTATCTTCCCCTTCCCTTAAAGTCAAGCTTCTAGGGGGAAAAAAAAAAGCTTTTATTACTCCAATTCCCAATCATTTCTAAACCCTGTCTTTCTAATCTGGCTCATATGCTCAATGACCCTATAAAGCTGAAAGATCACCATCCTAACTATACTGACTTGAATGAAAACTACAGTAGCTAAACAGGATGGACAATACTAATGGAGTTAAACGAATGCTGCATAAAGGTCAAGTAAGATAATATAAAGACAAATCATCCTTTGGTTTTGAAAATTTGAAAAAAATGAGGACTTCTTAAACTTCTTTTTTTTTCTCTTTTTCAGCCTGAGTTGTCAACTTCCATGGAATATAAGTATCTTTATAACAATTTCACCAGAGCTCTAATGCAACAATAGTGGGAGATGAGCTTAACAAGTGGTGGTCAAATGGCTACCCCTTAATACGTGAACAACTATAAAGAGAATAATCAGCGGACAGGTGTGGTAACTCACACTTGTAACCCCAGCACTTTGGGAGGCAGATCCCCTAAGGTCAGGAGTTCAGGACCAGCCTTGCCAATATGGTGAAATCCTATCTCCGCTACTAAAAATACAAAAATTACCCGGGCATAGTGGTGCACGCCTGTAATCCCAGCTACTCAAGAGGCTGAGGCAGGAGAATCACCTGAACCCGGGAGGCGGAGGTTGCAGTGAGCCAAGATCACACCACCACACTCCAGCCTGGGCAACAAAGTGAAATTCTGTCTCAAAAACAAACAAAAAACAACCACAACAACAAACAGAGAACAACCAGCAACCAAGTGTTTAAAAAAAAAAAAAGGCTTCATGAATTAGAAAAATTTGGATATGTGATGATACTAAGGATAATCATTTTTAAGGTATGGTATCATACTTACATCAAAAGAAAGATTCAACAAAAGAAAATCAATGTAATACATAAGAGAACAAAGGAAGAAAAAATACATGATCATCTCAATTGACAAAAGGCATCTGATAAAATTTAACACACTTTCATGATAAAATCTCTCAGAAAACTAGGAATAGAAGAACATTTCTTCAACATGATAAATGGTATTTAAAGAAAAGTTACAGTTAACCTCATACTCAACAGTAAAAGACCTAAAGCTTTCACTGAAATTTAACTAAAATCAGGAATGAGACAAGATGCCTGCTTTCACCACTGCTATTCAACATATTAAAAGTTCTAGTCAGAGTAATTACACGCACACACAAAAAGTATCCAAACTGCAAAGGAAGAAGTAAAACCATTTCTATTTGCAGATGACATGATCCTATATATGTATTTTAAAAGTCCCAAAGAACCCACAAGTTATTAGAACTAATAAATTCGCAAAGTTGCAAAGTGCAAGATTAGCACACAAAAATCAGCTGTTTCTATACACCAGCAACAAACAATCCAAAAATTAAGAAAACAACACTATTTATAACAGAATCCAAAAGAATAAAATACCTAAAAATAAAATTAATCAGAGTTAAAAAACACACAATGTTGCTTAAAGAAATTAAAGAAGACCTAAACGAATGGAAAACATTCCACGTTCACAAGCTGAATTATTTAATATTGGAAAGATGACAATACTCTGCGGATTAATCTAAAGTTTAATGTAATCTCTATCAAAAATCCTACTACACATTTCGTATAAATAGACAAGCTGATCCTAAAATACTTGCCAGGATGTTCCCAAATATCTATAATATATTTTAGTAATGGTAATGATAATAAACACCCCAATACATCACATGTATATATGGTAAAGTTTTATAGGTATTCTAAGAGCACATCCTTTTTACAGAAGAGTCAAGGTAGCCATTTGGAGAAAGAGTGGACCTTTGTAGGCATTTACAAAAAAGAATGTCCTTCACTGGTAGACTAGATACTAGACTCTTCATGAAAACTACAGCACTTATCTGTAAACACCCTCCTCCCAGCATTAAAAGCCACACAGTACAATTGTATTTAAAATAGGACTGCTCTTTAGTTAAACAAGTACAGGTCTTCACAAAAACTCACTGCATAACCCAAGCAGCTCCTTAAAATGGTAGTGTCTTTATTATAGCTTCTCGTTTTATTGTTTAATTAATAATCTTATTTGATAAGTACAACAGAAACAAAATGACACTTTAAGGTCTAATGTCTTCATTTCAATATTATTTTGAAAGCAAATGATCTAACAATTCAAGTGCAATGCAGAGAAATTCAATAAGGGTGGATACTGGCATGTAATATATTACTATAATGAATCCTGAAGTAACCATAAAACTATCAATAATAATAAACTATCAGTAATAATAAAACTATCAAGGATTTCAAATTCCCACTTCCATGGCCCTTAAATAAATTTTATTCCTTCACTATAGCAAAGAAAATAAGTCACCATACCCAATATCTGTAAGGGGTGGTTTATCTCTCCCTCTCTTATAACAGAGGAAAAGTTCAGGGCTTTTCAGACTTCCATAGTTCAAGTTTGCTTGGAGAGCTGATGGAGTGGCTTCTACACAGGTGTAACCTTCAGGTACTGTTTCTCCAGCTGATTTGATAATAACGGCAATGTCTGTAATTGGAGCTTTAGGTCCAGTTGACTTAGTATCTAAACGATTTATTTCTTGATCCAAAAGAGTAGATGTGTCAGTGAGACCAGCTACAACAAAGTAGTCTGTCACTCTTGGTCCTTTGTCTTCTATCATGGCTGCTACTGTATTTCCTAGAAGAGGGAGGGGAAAGATATCAATAAAATAAAATGCTTTATCCTGACAAAAATTAATATATCCTTGAGTTAATAATCATCAACTAGCACACTTCCCAGCTGGATTTATAATCAAACTGTCTTTCTGAGAAGAAGGCTGCTTTTATCATCTTGTCAGCTAGTAAAAGTGAAAGTACAAGTTAACAGCATCAATTCATTTGTAACACAACTATAATCTTTTCATATTCTATTAAGAATAATTAAACTGGGGCCAGGCACGATGGCTCATGCCTATAATCCTAGCACTTTGAGGGGACAAGGTAAGCAGATCACCTGAGGTCCTAAGTTCGAGACCAGTCTGCCCAACATGGTGAAACCCTGTCTCTACTAAAAATATAAAAATTGGGCTGGGCACGGTGGCTCACACCTATAATCTCAGCACTCTGGGAGGTAGAAGTGGGTGGATCACCTGAGGTCAGGAGTTTGAGACCAGACTGGCCACCATGGCAAAACCCCATCTCTACAAAAATACAAAAATTAGCTGAGCATAGTGGAAGGTGCCTATAATCCCAGCTACTCGGGAGGCTGAGGCAGGATAATCACTTGAACCCAAGGGGCAGAAGCTGCAGTGAGTGCAGACTGCTCCACTTCACTCCAGTCTGGGTAAAAGAAAGAAACTCCATCTGAAAAAATAAATAAAAATAAAAATAAATATTAGCCAGGTGTGATGGTGTGCACCTGTTAGTCCCAGCTACTCGGGAGGCTGAGGCAGGATAATCACTTGAACCCAAGGGGCAGAAGCTGCAGTGAGTGCAGACTGCTCCACTTCACTCCAGTCTGGGTAAAAGAAAGAAACTCCATCTGAAAAAATAAATAAAAATAAAAATAAATATTAGCCAGGTGTGATGGTGTGCACCTGTTAGTCCCAGCTACTCGGGAGGCTGAGGCATGAGAATCACTTGAATCTAGAAGGCAGAGGTTTCAGTGAGTACAAATTGCACCACTGCACTCCGGCCTGGACGACACAGTGAGACTCTGTTTCCAAAAAAAAAAAAAAAGGCCAGGCCCAGTGGCTCACGCCTGTAATCCCAGCACTTTGGGAGGCCGAGGTGGGTGGATCACTTGAGGTCAGGAATTCGACACCAGCCTGACTAACATGGTGAAATCCCGTCTCTACTAAAAATACAAAAATTAGCCAGGTGTGGTGGCAGGTGCCTGTAATCCCAGCTACTCAGGAGAATTGCTTGAATCTGGGGGGCAGAGGTTTGCAGTGAGCCGAGATCGCGCCACTGCACTCCAGCCTGGGCAACAGGGCAAGACTCCATCTCAAAAAAATAATACTAAACTGTCAGAGGTGGACTACAATATTTTCCTTTGGACTACAATATTTTCCTTTGAGCAAAATGTACTTAATGAACAATATTCAGATCATTCAAAATATCATTCTAAGTTACAGAAGTCTTAGAGCTAAACTCCACATTTAAATAAATTGAGCGCATCATTAGTCAAGATCTAAGATCAGAAATATTAAGGTAACAGTAATAAATATCATTAAAGCAGTTCTCAACAATCCAGTTAGAACTCTTGCGCTTTATAAGAATTAAACTTTCCATAAACACTATGTAAAATAAGTAAGCTTAGGAATCATTAAATATTTTATATCTAAAAATGCCAGATAGAGCGTAAGAAACAACAACCAGTAAAACCATCACCACAAACCACAATCAAGATAGTGAAACATATCCAGGTCGAGCACAGTGGCTCATGCCTGTAATCCCAGCACTTTGGAAGGCTGAGGCGTGCAGAACACCTGAGGTTGGGAGTTCAAGACCAGCCTGACCAACATGGAGAAATCCCATCTCTACTAAAAATACAAAACTAGCCAGGTGTGGTGGTGCATGCCTGCGATCCCAGCTACTCGGGAGGCTGAGGCAGGAGAATCGCTTGAACCCAGGAGGCGGAGGTTGCAGTGAGCCGAGATCATACCACTGCACTCCAGCCTGGGCGACAACAGCAAAATTCCATCTCAAAAAAAAAATGAAAGAAAACATATCCATCGACACCAAAATTTTCTTGTTCCTCCTTCATTATCTCTTCTCCTCAGGCAACAAGTTATCTGCTTCCTATCAATATAGATAAGTTTCTAGAATTTATATAATAAGCAGACTCATACAGTATGTATTCTTTTTTCTCTGGCTTCTTTACTCATCATAATTATTTTGTGATACATCCACGTTGTTGCTTATATCCTTTTATTATTGAGTGGTATTCTACTGTATGAATATACCACAATGTTTATCCATTCATCCATATTAATAGACATTTGAGTTATTTCCCATGTGAAACCATCACAAATAAAGCTGCCATGAATACCCATGTACAAATCTTATGGACATAATGCTTTCATTTATCTTGGGTAAATTCCTAAAACAGGATGGCTGGATTAGGTGTATACAGTTCTAAAAAACTGCCAAATACTTTTATAAAGGGAGTGTACCATTTTTTTCACTCTTGTCAGCTTTGAGAGTTCCAATTGTTCTACATCCTCTTAAACACATTGTAAGATCAGCCTTTTTAATTCAGACATTCTAATCAGTATGTAGTCATATCAACTTCTAGTTGTATTTCTATATAATAGCAATGAATAGAAATACAACTGATTTTTACAAATTGATCTTATATAATGCAATCCTGCTAAAATCACTTATTAGTTTAGAGCAATTTTGTAGGTTCCATCGGACTTTCCACATAATGTATCTGTGAAAAAAGACAATTTTTTCTTCTTTCCTTCCACTGTAGCTGCCTTTTATTTCTTTTTCTTGCCTTATTGCACTGGCCAGTACAATGTTAAGATAAATGGTAACCAAAGATACCCAAATGATCAATAGACAAATATGCTTATCACTGGTCACAGCAGCACTATTCGCAATAGCCAAAAGGTGAAAACAACCCAAGTAACCATCAAGAGATGAATGGATAAAAAAAATGTGATATAAACATACAACGGAGTATTATTCACCCATCAAAAAGAATGTAATGCCGACATATGGACAAAATAGAAAAACCTTGCTTTGTCTTGCAACTTGGGTATGAGCTCATCCACAGTAAAATAAAGCACCAAGTAGATTCCTAAAGTTTCCAACTCCAGGCCCCAGCTTCTGGACAGCATTTCTAGACCCATCTTAGGCCAAAAGGGAACCCTCCACCCTGAAGGGAAAAACACAAGCCAGCTACATTCACAACCCGCTGAATAAAGAGCCCTTGGGACTTGAATAAACATCAGTGGCAGCCAGGCAATACACTGTACTGGCAAGACCCAGTACTGTGCTGGTTTCAGGTCTAACCCAGCACAGACCCAGTGGTGGTGGTTGCAGGGGTGCTTGTGTCACTCCTCCCCTCAACTCCAGATAGCTCAGCATGGAGAGAGATGCCATTTGTTTGGGGGAAAATAAGGAAAGAGAACAAGAGACTGTGCCGGTAATCCAGGCAATTCTGGCTATTTCCCAAGACCACTAAGGTCATACAGCTATAAGTCTACAAGAGTCACGGCACTACTGGGCTTAGGTTGCTCCCTAATGTAGATATGGCTATAGAGACCAAGGACTCAGATCAAAACAATCAATTACCTTTGAATACTTAGAAAGCTTTTTCTAGAAGGATAGGTACAAACAAGCCCAGACTGTGAAGACTACCATAAATACCTAACTCTTCAATGCCCAGACATCAACAAACATCACAAGCATCAAGACCATCCACGAAAACATGACCTCACCAAACAAACTAAATAAGGCACCAGTGACCAATCCTGGAATGACAGAGATATGTGACCTTTCGGACAGACAAGTCAAAATAGCTGTTTTGAAGAAGCTCAATCAAATTCAAGATAATACAGAGAAGGAATTCAGAATCCTATCAGATAAATTTTAAAAAGAGATTGAAATAATTTTTTAAGATCAAGTAGAAATTCTGGAGCTGAAAAATTCAACTGATAAACAAAAATGCATCAGAGTCTTTCAAGAGCATAACTGACTCAGCAGAATAAAGAAATCATGAGCTTGAAGACACACTATTTGAAAATACAGTCAGAGGACCGGACACGGTGGCTCAGGCCTGTAATCCCAGCACTTTGGGAGGCCGAGATGGGCAGATCACCTAAGGTCAGGAATTCGAGACCAGCCTGGCCAACATGGTGAAACCCTGTCTCTACTAAAAATACAAATTAGCCAGGCATGGTAGCAGGCGCCTATAATTCCAGCTACTCCGGAGGCTAGGCAGGGGAACTGCTTGAACCTGGAAGGCGGAGGTTGCAGTGAACCGAGATCACACCGTTGCACTCCAGCCTCGGTGACAAAAGCGAAACTCCACCTCAAAACAAAAAATAAAAAACAACAAAAAAAAAAAGAAAGAAAGAAAGAAAAAAGAAAGAGAAAACAGTCAGAGGAGACAAAATAGTAAAGAATAAAAAAGAATGAAGCACACCTACAAAAACTAGAAAATAGCCTCAAAAGGGAAAATCTAAGAGTTATGGGCCTTACCAAAAAGGTAGAGGGGAGAGAAGTGGGTACCAAGTTTATTTAAAGAGATATACTGCAGAGAACTTCCTAAACCTAGAGAAAGATATCAATATTCAAGTACAAAAAGGTTATAGAACAGCAAAGAAATTTAACTCAAATAAAATTATCTCCGGACATTTAACTATCAAACTCCCAAAGGTCAAGAATAAAGAAAGGATTCTAAAAGCAGCAAGAGAAAAACACATAGCATACAAAGGAGCTCCAATGTGTCTAGCAGCACACTTCTCAGCAGAAACTTTACAGGCTAGGAGACAGTGTATGACATATTTAAAGTACTGAAGAAAAAAAAAAACACTTTTATCCTATTATTTTCAGTGTATCCACTGAAAATATTATATCCACTGAAAATATCCTTCAAACATGAAGGAGAAATAGACTTTTCCAAACAAATAAAAGCTGAGAGATTTTGTCAACACCAGACCTGTCCTACAAGAAATACT